GGACAATCACAACACAAACTGGTTCCATCCCCAACGATGTCATCCGCGTACTTTCTTTGTGGACGGTCGCTATCGGCACTCCGTCCACCACCATATCAGAAACGAGACTATGTTAGAAATCACAGGTTAAAATGTAAGACCTCGTTAGTCCTCAGGTTACACAAGTTTCGACTTCTGAGGGTTGTCGTTCGTAGGGATTTATTTCAACCGCACTGAAAGAATACTCAATTAGAATACAAATAGAAAACACGCGTGACTTTCAGTGTTCCCTGTATTCTTTGTTGAATTGTTCACTGATTCATAGGTTGAATTTTGGATTCACTGAATCGCTATCTTGTATATTTTCTGTGGGTAGATCAGAATGGCCGTAGTAGAAAGAACAGAATTCCATTACATTAGCGTCATATTTGTTTTCGTCAACAAAGACAGTTCATAACGTGTGTAAATAATTACATAAACTCTGCCTCCACTTCTTATCATCCCACATGTGTTTATTGTCTGGACAGCTGCATCTATTAAAGTTTATCAATTCTATATTCACAATATCCACCGTCAATTATACATGCACGCTGGAGATTAACCAACACCGAAATATCTCGTCAAAATTAGACCAGAATTATAATAACAGTGAACATAATCGTTTCACCTCTATGAATAAATTGAGAAGAAAATGTCATGCCTCGTGTGGCGGTTTTAAGTATAATTTACTCCAAATATAATGTCAACTCATTATAATACCAAAATACCATCGCCTCCTATATGAGATCTACAATTTTGTAGATATGTCTGGCAGATACCCGACGGAAAAAACAGCTAAACCAGCAAATCTGTTTAAAATCTGTTTTTCCGTTAACCAGCTGTCACACCCCTACAAAGGACAACCCTCAGAAGTCGAAACTTGTGCGAGCTAAGGATTAACGAAGTCTTAACTTTTAACGTGTGATTCCTAAAACAGGTTGGACGATAGCAAGTGAAAAACAATCGTTCAGACAAAGGCTTGAACCACCGACCAACACGGCGGCCGATTTGAGTGAGTGAACAAAGCACCCACGTCTGCTGCGCAGAAAGCTGCGGTTGAATCATCAGGCAACTGTTAAAAGTCTTCCGTTTGGAAGATTCGTCGAAAGTAACTTCCTATGCAGGGTGTTTATTGAACAAGCGGCAAAAATTAAGGGACTATTCCTTGGACCATTCTAAGGATTTTTGTCCTTTCATGATTTTTGATAGGGCGTTTGTTTTGAAGATACGGGGCGAAAAAGAATTTCGACAATAACAATTTTGGTAATTTAAAAATTATTAACGTAGCTGAAATAAAAGTATAGCGTACTACACTGGACCTACCAAGTAATAAAAAATCAAACAATTCCGTTGGTAACTATCAACAACATTCCGATTTCAGTGGAAGATTTGAGAAATCGGATAATTGCTGGGTGTATGGCAATCAGAAACGATCCTGGTGTTTTGAAAGAGTTCAGGAGTCAATGA